CAGGGTTTTGGGGGGGCCCCAGGGTTTTAGGGGGGAGCAGGGTTTTGGGGGACCCTCAGGGCTTTGAGGGGGCCCAGGGTTTTGGGGGGGTCTCCCCAGCCATTTTGGGGTCTCCTGGTGCTATTTTGGGTCTCCACGCTCCATTTTTGGGGTCTCCGCCACCATTTTGGGGTCTCTACGTGCCATTTTTGGCTGCCTTTTTGGGTCTCTACTGCCATTCTGGGGTCTTTGCCACCGTTTTGGGCTCCCCCTGTGACACTTTTGGGGTCTCCACCACCACTTTTGGGGTCTTCACTGCCATTTTTGGGGTCTCCACCGCCATTTTGGGGTGTCTATGTGCCATTTTTGGGGCTCCAAGTGACATTTTGGGGTCTCCGTGACCTATTCTGGGCTCTCCCGGTGCTATTCTGGGCCTCCGCGCTCCATTTTTGGGGTCTCCGCCGCCATTTTGGGGTCTCCACCGCCATTTTGGCCTCCCCCCGTGCCGCTTCTGGGGTCTCCTCGCGGCGCTTTTGGGGTGTCCCGGCCGGTTTTTGGGGCGCCCGACCTTGTAGCGGTTGCCGTAGGTGAGGTCCAGCTCGGACTCCTCGGGGTTGAAGAACATGCCGGGCTTCTTGGTCATCATCTTGGTGTAGACGGCCTCGTCGGGCTGGACGCGCACCACCAGCTCGTTCCGCTTGCACTGGCGGCCGAAGATGTCCCCGGGCACCTCCCGGAACTGCAGCCGCACCTCGGCCTTGCGCTCGTTCAGCGCCTTCCCGCAGCGCAGCACGAAGGGGACGCCTGGGGCGAGGCCAGGGCCCGCCTCAGCGTCAACATCGGCATCCTCAACGTCGTCCTCAACGTCATCATCCTCAGCGTCAACGTCCTCGTCAACGTCATCATCGTCAACATCGTCATCGTCAACATCATCGTCAACATCATTCTCAACATCATCGTGCTCAACGTCAACATCGTCAACGTCCTCGTCAACATCAGCATCGTCAACATCATCCTCAACGTCATCATCCTCAGCGTCAACATCGTCAACGTCATCCAACATCATGTCATCATCATCAACATCGTCATCGTCAACATCATCATCGTCAACATCATCATCGTCAACGTCAACATCCTCAACATCAACATCGTCAACGTCCTCGTCAACATCATCCTCAACGTCATCATCCTTAATGTCAACATCCTCAACATCGTCATCACCAACGTCATTGTGAACATCATCATCAACATGATCATCATCAACGTCAACATCGTCATCATCACCATTGTCAACGTCATCGTCACCATCATCGTCAACATCACTATCGTCAACATCATCATCATCATCATCAACGTCATCATTGTCAACATCATCATCATCATCAACGTCATCATCGTCAACATCATCATCATCAACATCATCATCATCGTCAACATCGTCATCATCAACATTGTCATCGTCATCGTCAACATCATCAATATCACCATCATCAGCGTCGTTGTCAATGTCATCATCATCAACATCATCATCAACGCCATCGTCATCAATGTCATCATTGTCAAGGTTGTTATCATCAATGTCATTATTGTCAACATCACCATTGTCACCATCATCATCAATATCGTCATCGTCAATGTCATCGTCAACGTCATTATCATCAACGTCATTATTGTTGTCGTTAACGTCATCATCAACATTATCATCACCAACATCATCGTCAACGTCATCATCATCAACCCCATCGTGGTCATCACCCCCCCGCACTCACCGTCCCACCGCTCGTTGGCCACGCGCAAGATGGCGGCGGCGAAGGTGGCGGTGGTGGAGCCCGGGGGGACGGTGGGATCGTCCAAGTAGCCCTTCTGGGCCTCGGGGGGGCCGGCGGGGTTGCCCACGTACTGGCCCAGGACCACGTCTTCTGGCTCCACCGGCCCGATGCACTTCAGCACCTTCACCTGGGGGGGGGACGGGGGACATGTGGGGGGGGCCA